CCAGGCCTGGATGGACGTTCACCGATGGCAACGTCCTTCACCGATCCCTGCATTCCGTATAGGGTGTGGCGAGTCGAGATTTGTTGCAGTTTCTTTTTTACAATTTGCTCAACATGCAGAGTTCAAGAATCATGTGTTGTTCATTGGCAGTCTGAGTCTGCATGTGATCAAAGTTGTGAGGAGTGTGACATGTAAAGAACATACTCAAAAGCAACTGAAGACCACTCCAAAGTATTTGCACTGACCCCCCCAAAAAGGAATCTGAATTCCTAGGAAAAAAATGTGAGATTTTAAAATAATCATACCAAGGCTAAGACGAAGGGAGGCTTGCACCTTCACTGCCTCGAATGTGGAATACTCAATATCAATATGTCATAATATGTCAAAATGTCGACGCATAAAAACAACAATATATTAGATGATCATTGTAATATACTTTAATCGAATATATCCAATATATACTATGATATATCTTTAAACACAATGAAACACATCTGTTCCCTTCTTGCTACCCGTCCTCCAGTCTGCTCCCTTTTACACCTCCTTTCGCAGTCCGGCCTCTCCCACAGGCCCCACGGTGGGTGTCAACACCGTGGGAGGCCACGCGGGCTCCGGCGGCAGAGGCTCCGCCCAGCCGTGCGCCTCCCGCGCTCGGCGCAGCTCCTCCTCGAGGAGGCGTACCTGGTGTCGCATCGTGGCTACTCGTGGCGCGTCGTGGCTACTCTGGTCGGAGAGTGGAAAAGGGAAATGAACCATTGGACCTTTTTCTTGAATAAAGATACCATCCCATCCTTTTACAAATGCACACAGGGGGTTCCACTTTCATGTTTTTCGGGTCGGCGGGTAATTCCTCATCCAGCGTTGTGTCTGTTGCGATTGAATATGTTTTGAATGTTAGCATCTGCTTCAATGCCGACAGTGCCAGGGTACCAGTGACAAATAGTGACACCAGAAATTTATTTGAACGTTCAAATTCGTTTTGGATTCAGGAGATTTTGACAAGAACAAACATATATAAACCCAAATCCATTGGTTGGTCCCAGTGAGGTTCAGTACGAACCTTCCACAAGATGCCAAGCCGATCCGCCGATCCGTTGGGAGATGTTGAGAGGTCTAGAGGTCTCACACGAGGTCCACTGCACACGAGCCCTTAGGTTCCTCTGCCCAAACCAATTCCACGATCCCGAACAAACACCGCAGACCAACGACGCTGCAGGCCACTTCTGCCACTTCTAGTGTGAGTCAAACCAATCTACACCTCCTACTAGCCCTGACCAGATATCGCATACTTGGAGATATGACTTTCGGTCGTTTCCTTTGGCTTAATAGTTTGGTTTTCCAAGGGAATCTTGGGGAAATGTGAGGGGGTAGTTAGCTGTAGAGTCCGAAACAACTGGACACAGACTGAGGAAGCATCCCTTTCAATCCACTACACTTCCTATCCTTCTGTCTATCGACCTATGAATCCCTATGTGTGCCACTATCCCTTTGAGGCAATCAGCTAACCATCTGCAGCCCCTATGACCCCCCTTGCGGCCTCTGCCGCTTGGCGCCGTTGTGTGTCCCGGAAGGCTTCCTGGGAGCATTTCAGCGGGATCAACTGGGAACTGAAGCATCTACTCTCGAAAAATCCCAAACATTAAGCACAAGAGCACAAATGAGCACAATGTCTCCTAAAGGCGGTATGGGAAGGCAAACTAAACGTATACCTATAAATACGTACTCTAGGACGCAAAAATGCCCGAGTCCCCCTACGATGGACAGTGGCCCACTCCACATATGTCCTATTCAATGATTCGACATGGTTTCCTGCGAATTGACCAAATATAAGAATCAAATCAAAACCCTGTAATTATCACGATGCTCCAACGTGCAAACCGAATGAAGTTCCACGGCGAAAATCTGTATATGGGTACAACATGACCACTGCATGGTCCATGTTTGGGTCTTGCCGGGTCAATGATGGGGCAGGAGTCGGGCCTGACCGGAGGGTTGCCACCAAACAGTTTGAGCTTTGTCTTCTGTTGGACAGGTGCAAATGTCCGTAGAACTTGATACTACAAATTGTGCCTCTATCTACAATTGATCTAAGAACCGCTTATATAGCTTGTTATATTTTGTTGACACCACAACATTTTGACATAATATTGTAATCAATAGCTGAATGATATCTTGTCTTGTCTGTCTGCATGGGTCTGATCATGGGCTTCTTTGGTGCATGTTAAACACATAGACCCTGCTGATCGTCTTTGACTGGAGGTCTTCAGGGCATTGCCCTAAGAAGCAAGTTCATCGAATATGCTGCCTATCGCAACACGACTATCGTGCCGCACATCAGCATGCGCATTCGACAAAAGATATTGACACACTCACTCACCTTCCCTTGGATACCCAGTGAGTACAAACACTAAGCGCCATGGAAATCGGATCCAGGAAAGGCCAAGGACCACCCCACTACGTCTCAGTCTCATTGGAAGCATGTAGCCTGTGAGCAATCAAAGATCATTATCAAAAGGTCACTTACATGTTCGGCAAGCTTGGGTAACAACATAGTCTAAGCCCAGTGACATCTATGAGTCTATTACATTAAAGAGATGCATGGGCATGGACACCAAATTAGATGCTTTGGGAAGGTGGATCGCGAAACAAACTGGTCTGGCCTGACTCGACAAATTACCGTGCATGCCTCGCAATGTGAACTCGAGTCTAGCAATGGAATGGTAGCAGTCAACTGACTTGATTGATAGAAACGAATGAGAAGTATATGCTTCCCTTAGGGACTAGTAGCTTCTGCCATCTGCCACCGAATCAAATCGGCACTCCTGAAAGCCTTGCGTACAACCACAACCGCCATATCCACCGCGGAGATCGGGATAGGCCTCGACAACTATCTGAACTCGTGTGGTTTGTGCTGTTTTTGAAAGCTGTTGGGATCAAACACTGCTCTGACAAGCCATGAAGATTCGGTTGTTGTCCTCTCAAGGATCTTTACCTCTCCAAAGAGTAGTCCCAGTGGGTTCACATGTTCTTCTCAGAGAGTGGAGTCGAGTGCCCTACCCTAATCTCTTCAAAGTGCTAGCCTTACACCAACCAAAATCCATTGTCTGAAGACAAGACATGGAAGACGTCCCTCCCCCTTCACCCGGCCGGGTTTCAAACGAACGCCAAACGCCGGTCTCGAAGCCCAGGTCCAAACATGCTTCGCAGCCAAAAGCCTTAAAAGTTCACCTGGACTGTTCGAACTTCGAACTTCATGAGTGATATATGGGTGTGTGTTGAAATAGGGAGACCTGTCTGGTCTCAGAACACCCCCCAAAAAGCTGGGAAATAGACCAGTCTACCTGTTGGGGGGTGCCCTAAATTTTAAATATGTTTATACACACCCATCTGCCATCTGCAGTGAAGTTCCCAAAACCGACTTCTGACTGCTGGGGTGTAGACTTTGGACCAACAATTCCTGAAGCAGGGGAACACACTCACCAACGTTCACCACTATATAATATCGGTTCCCCTCCAACCATGTCCCTATGTCCACTGGTCCAACCTTCCTCCTTTCAAACAAGCCCTCTTCCAACGAAGCCAGGGCGGCCCTCGGCCGGCCGCCTGTGCGTAGGGAGCGTAGCCCATCAGCGCTTGACGTTGGGAACTGACGCCGGAGCCATTAGGCTGGGAACCTGGAACCTGCTAGCAAGGAACGTCAGGAACCGTAAATTGGTTGATTGGTCCTTTTTTTGGAGCTACTCATTTTCCTGTAGTTTTTGTGTTTCGATCACCAGGTATATATTTTATTGGGTAAAACAATGTATATAGTGTGTGGATAGATAAACCAACAAGTCGAAGACACACCAATGTGTCAATGCCTCTGCAAAGGTTCTATCAACAAACATCCTGTGATATCCTGTGGCAACAAAGGGCAACAAAGCCATTCACCACCTCATGAATACTCAGTTGTTTACATGCATTCTCTCCTTGGTCTACCCAAAGCTGTGTTCATTGTGTTCATCAACAGGCATCGTCCTGGCATCTCACTACTGAATTCTCGCCGGCGTCTTTGGCCGCAGGTTGCACTTTTGAGCATCCAAGAAGTAGTTGAGCAGGTCGAAAGACTCACAAAAGTGCCCTTCTCAAACCAGTTGACCAGAGTCCTCTCTTTCAGGCCTGGCTACAACATATTGGTGAAAAGAACAAGATATTGGGTTGGCATTCACTCAGTCCCCTCAAGCTGAGCGCAAGAAAAACGGCCGGGTATGCCTTCAGCACTAGTTTTGAACCGAATGGTCCATGCACCAACGAGGGTTTCCCTGCGGTTCCCACGGTTGGTTTTAGGTGATGAGTCTTGACGCAGCACCGTGTATGGACTCCAAGCAATCCACTTTAACACTCACACTGATCACTTTTTCTTTTCGCAGCCGGGCTGCTGGGGTAGTCTCTCTTGGACATCTTGAAGAAGGAGGCAGGAGCCGAATGGGACAAGACTTCTTGCAAGAGTGAGGATGAATCGCTGGCACTTGTGCCTCTATGTAGTCACAGAAACTCTAAATTGACTTGACCATGGAGCTCCAACAAATGAGTTTTCAATGCTCTGACAAGCGATGCCTTGCCCTTTAACTTCTGTGTGGTTTGTTTCAAGCGCGTACTGCAAGCTGTGTCTAAAATCCACTGGGATGGCTCTAGTTTCGGTCTTCACATCCAAAGAACTATGCCACTTGCTCTACAAAGCTTGAAGGCTTTGAAAGGAGACTCATACCTGTCAGGCTAGTCCAATAAGTAATCCTCAAATCCCTGGAAACAACAACATCCTCGGGCCCCATTGAACATGCTTTTGGACATGCTTCCTGTATATCAGGACAACTAGACTTCCAAACCGTTCCATACCATCAAGCCACTCTTGGATCAAAACAGGTCTCTGCAGTCCAGTCCCAGTGGCTCTGCATGTGCTCCTCTTGCTCCGTCTGATGCATCTTCACGCTCCGCGGCGTAAAGACTGGACTCTGCGACCTTCACAAACCCAAGGGGTTGTCAGGCACTTCCCTTGCCGCCTCATCCGCCCGCTTGCGCAAATACTTGCTCACCTGCATCAGCCCGAGTTGCAGGATATCCCTGAAAACAAGAACGAGTTCGAGCGGCTTGTAACAAGCATCAAGTGGAATCCAACAACCAAAGTACTTGGTCACACGTGTAATTACGCAATCATACGCAACCCTGCTGAAGATGTTGGGTAAAAGCTGAACCGCTGTTCAGCATGTTCTTCAGTTGCAGCAGGGACACACTCCAAAAAACATTTCAGGTTGCTGTCCAACATCAACTAAACAAGTAAAACCAGGGTGGCTGTATGTTTGGAAACTGGCTGACATTGAGAAGCATTGGAAAAACCATAGTCCCATAGTGTATCCTTCATCTCTACCATCATAAGTGATCTGAACCCGTCAAAATTGAAACAGGAGGGCTTTCCCGAAGCTTCAGTTATATATATATATATGTAGAATTGTAGTTTAAGTGATTTTTTGAACTGGTGGCAACCATGTCATTGACCTCCCTTGCTGTAGCCCATGCTAGTCATTTTCGGGGTCAACCAACGCCCCAAGCTCACGAACTAACACAGGAACCCGTGAAAACCTAAGGTCCTCAACATGCTTTGAACTGACTTCACAATTATGCGGGTCAATTCCGCAAACGGGCCAAAGGATAAACATAGCAAAGGAACAAAAAGACCAGCTATTCACCACAAAAGATACACAATAACGCGCAGGGTCAACAAAAACTGTATGTCTTTTGAGATGCTTTGATAACGGTAGGATAAACATGTACAAAACAACTGGTTGCATGGTGGCCAATCTGACGGTTTTATTGTTCGTCTCGCTCTTTGTCTAAGACTGGTACTTGCCTTGGCGCGGAGATCGGCGAAAACCACCAAAGCCAACAATCGGGTGCCTGGTGCAGCGGAGGCCATGATCGCGAAAAAGGATGGGTGTGACTGCATGATGGCAGTCGTGACTTCATGACTGGGTCACATCGGATTTTAGTCCAACTATAGGATGATGAAGAACCCTAGACTGTAGGATGATGTTATATATTTGATGTAGTGAAGGACAATGCAAGGGTTTATGCACTAGCCTAGATAGCCTCTGCCGTGGCTGGGACCGTGACCCTCGCGAACTCGCGGCGACTGGTCGTTCCACTACCCGGTGCTCGATGTGACTCGATGATGGGAGACTTGCCACCCAGAAAAATCACTGGAGGACAGCTGGTTCATGGATGTTCATCATGGATGTTCATCATGGATGTTCATGGATGTTTGTATGTGAATGCGTGCTGGTTCCTGATGACGAACCGTTTGGGGTCTATTATATAAATCAAACGATGGGAAAAAAACCGATCAAGTGCTACCTGTGTAACCTATGAGTGCTTGAGAGTATGCATCAATGAGATGATGCACTTCTCCTAATGCTACTAGTAGTAATGCTACTAGTATTAGCTTCTTGTAGTAATGCACTTGTGACTAGTAGCGATGCACTTGTTGCTAGTAGCTTGTTGCTACTAAATCCAAACCTCGGAAGACCGGAGGTTCCCTCGCAGCACTGGTGCGTTTGTGGGACCTTTCACCAGTGGTGCGCCAACCTGGGCCACTACTCCTCACCTGTCCCGGGCGCTTCGGTTCTGGGCAATTCCTTCGCTGGAAAGACCACTTCACTACTCCTCTATACCCATGACCCTGCACCTAGTGGAGACATATATTGATTTATGCTGAATCAATGCCAGGTCATCCCAAGCATAAAAAGCTTTTCTCTCATGGGGGGATGGATCCAAACAATGGAATCATTGGACTGGTGGCCAGCCCTGCCCATTCCTTTTACCTCTCCCTAATCAACAAATCTCAAAAACACCCAAAGAGATATAAGCAAATCTGGACGTAAAGCAGTGCTTTCACGTGAGTAAACATAAAACACATACCGTATACCACAAAAATACAACTCAACACGCACACACACAACAAACCAATCCAAACTTGCTTTTTCATTTGTTGTGCGATAGCCTCTAGCCTCTCAGACTTCGGTCCCAGCATGTCCCTGCCATCTCAGAGGTCTCACGTCTCAGAGGTCTGCCGTGGCCCTGCATGGCCCTGCCGTCTCGTTCGTGGGACCTGTTGGACCTCTCCCAGACCTGGCCGACCAGCGTGCCTCGCTCATTGGGATGGATGCCATCGTCTGAGAAGTAGCCGCGGCGCTGCAGCGAAGCGCCTGTCACGTGCAGGCGCTTCGAACCACTCGAAGACTGCGGAACCAGTCGGGCACCAACAGGCCGATGCTTCAGTTCTTTTGGGTGTGGGGCAATAATTCTCAGTTGCGTCGAACGGGAGAGATTTGAACTTCTGCAGATTTCCGCGTCTTTCCTTTACAAACCCTTACAAGTCCAAGGGCCAAGTTAGACCTGGTCCTTGATCTCATTGAGTACTGGTCTTGCATGACCGGATCCAGTCAGATGAGGTCCTTGACCTATAGGGGAGGCTGAACCTGTCTTCGCATGCCCTTTCGATAAATCACATAGAAACTGCAAACGAACCGACGATCCCTGGGAATTAAGATGAAATCATGTTCCCTACCCTTATGGGTCGTTTGGGTCGTTTCCATGAAATTATGGGTTTGTGACTTTCAGGCAAACACTCTAGTGCTCTGCTGTCTTTCCGGCTTTCTGGTCGCCAGTTCAACACTGTGGATCACACTCCCACGTGCCTCCTAAGGCACTGAAGGTATCCACGACGGAAGCCTTGGCCTGGAACCATATGGTGGCAACACTGTTTGCACTCTTGATAAAGGTGCTGCAGTTAAAGGGGTACTCTAAAGTAGACTGTTTGGTGGGAGGAAGCGTTTTCTTCTCCCTCGGAAGCAATTTCTTCTCCCTCGATCACACTTATCCTGATTGTTGGGGGCAGTATAATACTGTTAGGATCTGTTGGGTGACAACAACCGGCAACTCCGGCATTGGGACCGATGCCCCAGCTCACCCCAAACAGCTTCTCGCCAGGTATGTGGATGAGTTCTTACTGCCTTCTACTTTATAAGACTTTATAAGCTCCTAGGTGTGTTAGGTGGTGCAGGATTCTCATCAACTGTTCCAAGTGGAAAGGGTGTTCCTACCTTGCTGCTGGTCTTATGAAAGAAGCAAGCGACAAAACATTGAGCTTCTAACGTCGATGAAGAACTACGTCCATCGACAAAGAAATCGTGCGCGCCGCCCACATCTGACCTTTAGTAAGTGAAAGTCCTGTACCTCCACAATACTTGTGCGCTCTTGACACACTCATATGTCATAGCAAGCAATACAACAAAAACACCACCATCCAAGGATGATGTTCCAGTTAGACAACAAATATCTGGCGAACTATGTTCGACTGCTGTGCCTCAGCAAAATCGTTTTCACACAAAGCCCATTCAATGGTCCACATGAGTCTTTTCACACTCTGCAAATTGGCATGAAGAAATCTTCTTCCATGGGCGCCAATGTTCATGAAACCTCTTTTTGGTGACCAGCCAAAACACAATGATGGTGAGGGTAGCAAGGTAGAGCCCCTTCTTCCCAAGCCCCTGCGACCAATGCGCGACCGGCCGTGCCGACTCCAAGCGGCCAGAAACTCTGCTGGCACGCTACTGCGGCTGCGCTTGGCCTGGAACCGTTGGAACTCGGCCAAGAGTCGGGAGCTCCCGTTCGCTCAGCCCCAAACAGCTGTTCAGGGTCGGTATACGGCACACCGACCCTGAGCAACCGTCAGTACTAAGTGAAGGACATGGGATCACCCTTCTCAACCAGCTGTCATTCAAAGCACCCTCAGCCACAAAGATTTGTATGCGATGTGGGCCCGGCTGTTCCTTAAGGTTCTCTCCTTTCTGAAGATCAGGTGCTCTTCTGGAGATGCTGCCCAAAAACATCCAATATTGAGTTTGAGGTATTCCGAAAGGGACCTCCGTGTGTATGTTGCAAAGCATGGTCACTAGGTATCAAAACTCTGAGTTGGGATCAAGAAACTGCTGTACATATGGGAATCCGGACCCGCAGCCATTTCGATGCAATGCTTAAGTCACAAGCTTCTCCGATGAGCCCTCCTGACTTGCCCTCCGGCTGAGTCTTCGGGGACCCATGTGCGAGAAACAGGGAGTGAGGACTTCACTGTGCTTCACACACCTCAAATGAGAATTTGTAGAGATTCCTGTTTGATTAACCTTGCGTCACTTGGTGTCACTTAGGTGTCACTTGCATTCACTGTTTCCCGCCTGTTCTTCCAGCGGGGCATTGATGACACCTGCCAGGTCAATGGCTTCAGGAACAAACTTAACAATAAGACAGTTTAGTGTCTAAAGCGCGTGAATATGTGCAGTCTATCAACTTACATCAATTAATTAACAAGACATGCCCATGGACTGCGGTATTCTTCTTTGAGGCGACTGCTTACTTTAATGGACTCTTCAATAACTGAATTCTGAAAAAATACATAGACTTGCGATATCCTGTTCCTTCCTAAACACTTGGCAACACAACCCGCAAATCATTCAAACACGAGTGCCTCGAGCTTTCTCGGCGATGACTGGCACCAGGGAAGGCAGTTTCGAGTTGACCACCTCCTGGCGGCATCGCCCGTGGATAAAGCCGCGTTCCGGTCCAGGTGGCGTAGCGGACCCAAATGAATTCGTTAAAGAACCACTGCAACACTTCTGATTTACCTTCAATTCCACTCCCAAAATGTGTCCCGACGAGGACAGTGGTTGTAGAGCTGGGACAGTAGATGACCAGATGCCTTCTCCGCTCTCTTTCTGGCTGAAAGTAACACATTGAATATATAGCTGACCAACTAAACAAGTAGGTGGCAGTCAAAACGCACACACTTCAACAAACCCTCAAACATGACTTGTGGTAGTCATCCTTTCGCGAGACAAACCTTTTACACCGCTTCGACCCCCATCTGTGGCTGTTGGCATGTGGGGGATTCGCAGCATTCAAAAGCCACTTGACATCTCGACCCCATCAAGGACGCTACTAGGGGCTCCTGGCCTTACTACTAGGAGCAAGGGCTCCTGGCATCGCTACTAGGACCTAGGAGCATTCTTACTACTAGTAGCAAGAAGCTAAATTAAGACTTGAATCCATCTCATCCCATCTCCCCGGTTGACCCCACACGCCCGTTCACCACACGCCGACGCCGCCCACACCGTGTCGACCAGGTCATCGGAGTAGGCGGGCGGCGGGGTGGCCAACAACAGCTCCGGCCGGGGCTCTTGACCTCGCGGCGAAGCGGCGGAAGCTTCACCGACACGAACCCCAGGAAGATCAATGGGTTGCTTTTTTGTTTTTTTCGGGTGGCCAATTTGATCTTCCAATGACCACCCAGTGGGCATATGTTCTTTTTCGCACATTTATGATGCCTTACTTACTTTCGGTCTGATTTGATTTCGGAATCCAAGGGCATTGCTGGAATCTCGAGCTTGGCTTCAGCAGGGAGGCATGCGGGTGCATGCGAGCGGGGATGTGCTAGAAATAGAAATCAGAATGAGTAACAGGATACGGGAGATCTCAATTTGTTGCGGAGAACAACCAAACCCTTGATCCTAAAGAAACCATTTCCACCCAATAGATGCGGTTCTGGAGTTCTAGCTAGCTCTGTGGAGGTCCAACTTGGAAGTCTGCCGGAGTTTCTCAAGAGCTTGTGCATTCATGATCATTAATTCACAACAATCTGGTCTGGAAATATCGAGATCAACGTGTTTCCAGAGTCATCGAGAGATGGGGTATCCCGACGCGGGGACTTCCCCCCCCCCAGCCTACCGGAGCGGAGGAGACCGAGTGTTTTTGGTGCGCTGGGTGACGAAACTTCTACGGCCATACAGCAAAGCCAGGCGTGTTCCAAGTATTTTCGACCTGGCTGTCGTTCTTTCTAAGCACCCACAAACACATTACATTACATCTTCATCACGTCGCATCTCTCCTGAGCCTCACACGCTCCAAGAAGTGCACACAAAGGTCCCGATAGTCCTGGAGAAGATCACACTAGTTCCCACAACTGGTTTGGTCTTGAGGAGGAATTCCTTTCACGAACATCAACAAAAAGCGGCATCGTAAGTAGATACTAGATACTATATCTTAGCTTGGAATGTAAAAGTTGGTACAGATTCATTTTGCACATGGCTACACCTTTACACAGTGTCGTGCACACTCCACATCCACAAGCAAGCTAAATCAAGCTACCTCCTGGATGAGTAATCGTGTCTGCGGTCTCTGTCGACATGCTGTGGGTTGACCACACAATATTGGTATCTCATGAATTCGGCTCTCATGTCCGTCGTCATTTGGCAGGAGCTATGAGGTCTATGTGTTCTCCCAATTAAAGGTGGGTCAAGGTTATTTGCTGCGAACCTTAATTACTGCGTGGTGATGGTTGCTTTCGTTGCTTTTGGGCTTCGACTGGTTAGGTCGCAACGCAATATAAATGCAATGAGGTTGATACAAGCATTATCCATCCCTTGACTTGCCCCTTTATCAAGTCAGAACACACATGAGTACACGCGAGAAACAGCAAATGAAACGTCAAATGTACATGATCAAATCACCAGTCTCTATGTTGCAAATATAAAAAAAATGAAGTGTCTTTTAACAAGACAATGTTTAAAACATCAAACTTCGAAACTTAACGAACGCATGAAGATCGCTTCGGTTGTTTCTTCGGTCGCCGCATGAGATCTCATCCAACAGCTTGATCTCTGCACTGTACGTTTTGGTGGTGTGACGCTTAAAGACTGTGGATGCTAAAAAACGTCCGGAGACGACTGATAAACATGTAGAACATTCGCGTATTTAAACTGTGATATAAGAGTAATAAAGTGATAAATTACAAATAAGCCACAGTCGAATCAAAGCAACAAATATCATTGCCGCAAATGGCAATGGGACAAAATTGTGTGTGTCTAATGATATAACAAATATAACATGTATTATATAACTATAATATCAACCAAATAAGGAGCGATATATAGCGATATTATAGCGTTGTACGAACAAACATACTGAGAACAGTTTAGTGGAGACCTCCTATCCCACCATTGCATCGAAGCCAAAACAAATTATGTTGCAGCTTTGTCAAATTGTGGATTCTCTTTGAGCAAAAGCTCATCTATAAAGCATATCATTCACTATCAAGGAAACATATATAAATACTGCACTATATATATAGCTATAGGTTTCCAAGAGGCACAAAAGAAAGATCTGTTCTGGGTGCTTCCAGTTTTCAAGCCACAGTCCAAGCGGGAAGTTCTGCCCACCCCCAGTCGTTGACTCACCAGGAAGTCCAGGTGAACTCCCAGTCGTCGACGTTTGGTTTGGAACGTCGATCGATGGGAAGTCTCCAGGTTGGCGATGTCTGTTTTTCGCAACACAAACTGCAGGATTCGAAGAACTGTCGAAGTGGGGAATTCACAATCAAAGAGGGGAGCGTTGTTGACCAGTCCAGAATCTTTGGGCTTTAGGAGAGAAGATTCTCCTGGGACTTAAACTTCTTCCGCAGAACAATGCATGTTGAGCCTTTGCTGCGATTTGCCGACAAACCAACCAACCGACCAACCAATGATACAATTGAACATGATTGCTAATTAGACGTCAGACTTTGCCGCCAACCCAAGACTGTTTGTCCCACCCCGAAACAGCTGCACAGGGAGTCAACTAAAGCTCATCACGAGCATTTAGGACTCAAAGCTCTATCCCAGATTAGGTCAGCGGTTGGCGCCGGGAACAACATCGATCCCTTCAAACGCTGGCCGATCTGTGGAAGCTGATCTGATCCATGGTGAATGGATACCTGGTTGTGTACCAAATGAACCTCTTGGACTCGTGGATTCGTTTGGTAAATGGATATCCTTTCAAGCACACATTAAGACGTCTACATAATGTTAAGCAAAGAAAGAGACTACCCGACCTTGTTGACAAGAAAGGAATACCAAAATAGCGAAGAATAAAGCAAGTTACCTCTGGGGCTGCCAAAGGCTACCAGACTCCTTGTGGAGTAGCCACATGTAAACAAACACTTAAAACGGACCCTATCAGGATTCTTTTACAACCAAACACTATCAAGGTGAACAGGAACATATTTGTAATAGTTCAAACAACCCCTGGGCCCTCTGCCAGCATTAAACCTTGATTCGGTGTGTGTTGCCAATGTTCCCACAAGCAATTGCAGCTGGTCGAATTGAATAGGAAACACACACGAGCATGATCCAGGGATGGCCGACAAATGCCTCACCTCATAGTACATTTTTAGCTATATAATTGACTATGGTGTGTGACTGTCTATATATACTGTATCGTGTATCTGTATATAGTGTGCAAAACCATAAACTGTATACATCATGTAATGCCTTCTTGTCAATGACTACAGGCTGTCAACACCAGGGCAATCTTCAAAAATACCCAGTGCAGGGGCCACAACATAGTCTTGATCCAAAACAATCGATCACAAAAAACCTTGTGCAGGGTTTCGTTGGTGGGATCGGTCCCCAGCGAAGGAAACAAACATGAAGACAGATTCCCCGGGCAGAACGAGTGTACAACACCTCACCACTTTAAGTCTATATAGTGTCAGTGAATCAAATGGTCGAACTGAGAGAGCCTTATCGAACTGAGGTCACCCTGTTTCAGGAGAAGCGCTGGCGCGCGACGCCAACCACGGCACTAGACTTTGGGGATCGTCCGTCACTTCTTCTTCGACTTCTTTTTCAACCTGTGCTGGTCGCTGGGGGTCGCAGGGCGTCACAAGGCTCGGTTGGTTCAAATCCCTTGACTCCCTTGACCTTTCTCATGATGACTCAGCTCGGTATCTACCAATTTTCATGGAACATTCCATGACCTGATAGACAGTTGCTATGCAGTTGCTGGTGAAAGTGCATCCACCTGATGATCTGCTGGAGCACTTGATTGATGGCTCTTGGTTGACAACGCTAAGGCCTTCAGCTGCTTTAACTCGGTGGGGGAGGCAGGCTATGCGACAAAGGCACGTGTAAACAGGTTTCAAATCAAATCCTCGTTGCTTCATGCAACATTACTTACTCCTCCAGTCCATAGCACCCTCCAACACTGTCAGCCCTGCAAAAAAATGGTATATAGTTGAAACTCCCCACACACCGACGGCTGCAGAGACCATCTGGGTGCCCCTGGCTCTTCGACCTTGGCCTCATCGTACTCGGCCTTCGAGAGCTTTGGGACATAAGAAGACGTGTATCAATAAAAAGTCAATACTTAAAAGGTCAATAAACGGTCAAGACGTGTATCAATAAAGACGTCATAAGAAAACATAATAAGGTCAATACTTGTTCAATAAAACTTGGCCCGTTGTTTCTAAAACGCTGAGGCCCGTCTAACGAGAGACCACGACCAGAAGGCCCGTCTATTGGTCTGTTGAACAAATCCACACCCAGAAGTGCCAAGGAGGCCATGGCACAACCCCTGTTCCAATCAAGACTTGCATAATCTTCTGGGTGATTTAGCCCCACTGAAAATAAACATGGACGCTGACAACCAGGGGTTTGTAATGGAAAACAGTCTTTCAGGCTCCATTCTCAGAGTCCATCTTAGTTTTTACTATATATATATATACAGTATATTACTGGTTCATCTCCATCGCGGGTGATTTCAACACAACTTGGCCCCCCTAGCACCTGTCCATGTTTCCTCAAACTCCTTGGGGCTCTGGTACAAGACATCTTTGTCTACATATTATGGTCAAAATGCCACCACCAGATTGGCAGAATGACCCGGATTTTTCCATGGATCCCATCAGTTACTTAAGATTACTTCAGTCATCTTGAGTCCATCGTAAGTTGAGTCCATCACCCCCCGCTTCGTCTCCATGTCCACGTCCGTCAGACCATACGGTGTCGGGCCTGCTTTGACTGGGCCATCTGGTTCATGATGGACACCTCACGGGAACTACTGGACCCCAAATTGGAGTGGCTGGGGGCACTGGCTTTGGCGGCTTCTGTTCCGAAAAAGAGGGGAGTCCTGCCCAGCCGACGTACCACGTCGAAGCTTCATGGTCAGTTTCACAAGTAGGATGGACCAATGGCCGGCCAGCCCGGTAGGCTACGTAGCATTGCTAGTCCAGTGCAACTGCTTGCTACCGCTCAAATGCTAAGTATGCCGAGCTCCGGTAGCTTCCATATTGACCCAACATAGTGACAAACATTCAGCGCATTAGAGGCGGATCAAACCCCTCCAGCGAGCTGCGGTGAACGTGCCGAGCACTGACTGCCACCGGGTCTTCGCTCACTGCGTTCCAGCTGTTGCCCTGACTGTCGCTGGGCCCCTGGCAACAAAGTACAAAACCAGACCTGCAATAAAGAGCTCCCAGCACACCTGGGCTATGCTTATGCTGTGGAAAACCAATCGTCTTTACTGGAGGCTCGTGAGGTCCAGGGCTCGTGCAAGAACCTCATGACATGATATGACCCTCAAATCTTCTTCTCAATGGACAAATGTGGCTCCAGCAGGCAGGAGCTCAAACATTGAAAGCTTGTTGGTTTCTCCATCCTAGAATCCTCGTCTTGAACTTGGAATGCTGGCCATGGAAGCAAAAAACTGAGAATTCTCGTTGTTTCTAAGGTGTGACCCCCAAAAATCCCTGGATCAAGCTCACCTTCAGTAAACCCACGTCAAAAACTAAAGCGTGGTATCAAATCACTTGGTTTGACTGTCTATGAACTTTGCAGCATAAATTTGCATAAATGACATATATTGCACTTAGTGACTTGTGTTGACTGAACATCACAATGACGATCTTTGAATTGAGAACCTGGAACAGGACACAACCAGGTGCGTAGCTTCATCAAGTCCGGCAAAATGTCAGGATAGGAGATGAAAGGAGATTGTTTTGCTTTTTACACGATCTCTTGAATCTCTTGACCTTGGGCAACTGTGTTTGCGATCGCAGGTCTGTAGGGAAGTCACTGCAATTTAAAGGCCACCTCGCCAAGTGGCTTTGAGGAAACCTGAGCGGACGTGTGGAACGTTGATATCGGCGACTGGAGCAGGTCATACAAGTTGGGAGCAGGGCCACCGCAAAATATTATTATATCAGGTGGCTGAACATATTATACTTCAAGGTGGCTATATATACAGATATTTGCAGACTCAGATTATAGCAAATTGAAGTCCCCAAAATTCGATCCGTCTGGCTGGGTTTGCTTGTGGCTCATTTGGGAACTAGTGGGCGATGAGGTTTCGTCCGGTCCGGACCAAGATAGAGATTTGGGAACTGCAAATGTGGGAAGGTTTCCTTTATCTACCAGTGGGTCTTTTTGAGCGTCCTAACCACTTCTCTTCGAGGATTGGAGCTGGAAAAACATTGCCAACGGCACGTGGCTGCTGCGACATTTCGACACTCCCAAACTGATCCCCTTTGAGCCCACAAACACAGCAAGTGACATCCTGTGGGCATTCGACAAAAAGTGTCGAAGACTTTGATACAATTTGCAATGTGTGGACCCATCTCCAGTAATAATGCAATGGACAAATAAATCAAAACAAATCAGTCCATCTTGGCCAAACTTGTCACTGATGATAGTGTGAGAACATAGTCCGTCAATATCCCATAATGTCCTGTAAAAATAGACAACTTGTCTCAGCTCCCACCACCACACACACACATACTCTCTCACAGCTTAACCCACGTTGTCATCAATTGTCTGGATCCTCATTCATGCGATCTGATTCTTTTGTCCAGTCATCTTGCAAGTCAGTTCCATGCCACTCCAACCATCGTCCCAGTCAGCATCCACCCAGGTGTTCCCCCAAAAACGAACACTGGAGATCCCAACCAACGAACGAAACGGTCTGACCGTGCCGGTGACTGGTGGGAGCTCCGGGGTCCAGCGAGGACAAGGAGATCTTCCCATCGGTGACGCTGGCGGCGCACTGGGCCTCGCTCACTGAGATCGCCTGCGAGGGCCGTGTCGTCCGGTCGGTCGGGGGAAGAAGGACCGTGGGTTGGGAAGGTCAATGGATGAAGAGGCTTTTGTGATGTGTATATATATATATATGTGTGTGTGTGTTGCCTTTTTCTGGGGAAGAGACAAATTAACCAGCCAGTAGATGATTAGTTGACCATTATCTATAAACACATCGAATTTGAAGATGGGAGATTGATTTGAGGACAGAAGTGGGAAGGTCATCAAATATCCATGTCAAGACACTTTGCAAAAGAATTGCAATACTTTTCGTAGCAATTTCTGCACCCCGTCGACCCCCCGCGTCAGGTCTCTCCCTGCATCGCCGCCCTTAGAACCCCTGTCCTTGTCGCCATCTTTGTCCCACTCCTTCAACACTCGATGGGCAATTTCCTTCATCTTATCCTCCTCTTCGTTGTCGTACCTCTGAAAAAAAAGGAAAGAAAAAACAGGGCGACATGTGCTTCTCATCCTTTCGTGAGGTCATCCGAACCTTTCGTGAGAGCTTTCGTGGAGGGCGACACTTCGACTGGTGCGCCACAGGTCGACGGGTCGACGGTTCGCCCCATTGGTCCGACCGTGACTGTGGTGCGTTCCGACTGGGGACGGTTAGGTGACTGGTTCCTTAAGTGATTGAAAGTTTGATGTCTTTGGGTGATGAAACCTGAGGCTTTCAACTCATATGAATAAATGTCTGACTTGGTCTACGAGCTCCCCAACTTCAGCGCCAAACACATCCAAACACCATCCCTTCACCACTAGCCTTGCGAGAACACAAACGTGTTGTTTTTACATATATAATTGCTACAGAGAAACTCTCATTGAATAACATGTTGTTTGTTGTGTTCTCTGGACGTGGCAAGTTTGGTTGACCTGCACCAGTCTGAGCATCCCTCATAGGCAAATACATGCAAATACACTTACACTTACAGCTGGCAAGACATCTTGCCAAGAAACCAGGCATATCTCCACATATCAAAGGTGTGGGTTTTGGACAAACCACAAGATCCCCTATAGACCATCGAAACAAGGATACTCACCAGCTAAGAAAGAGATCCGGCCACGCATCTTCTCATGAGTCTGGGAAGGTGCCAAACACTGGGTTGAAAGTGTTTCAAACCATTTTGTTGAAAAACAATAAGTATGTCAGTATGTCATAGTATTTCTGTGGCAGCCACTGATCCTGTGACTGCTTCACCGGCAGTTCCATTCTAGCTGTTGCCGGTCCCGTGCAACCACCACCACATCGAGCACAGACGCCAACATCGGATGTCCCATCGTTCCATCCAAGGTGGGGGATGTGAGTCAAAGCAAAACTAGATGCGGATCACAAAACCATATTGTGCGTGAAATTGCGTGAAAGATTAGTTCCACAGAAATGCGAGAGCATGTGAGAGCCATGCCATAAACAAACTCATCAACCAATTCCTGCAAATATGACAAGTTTGCCCTACTACTGTATCTAATTGGGGTCACTACAATGGCTTATGAAGTACCTTCCATCAGAATTCCAACCAGCTCAGCCTTCCGTCAGGGCACAACTTGCAAATCTCGTCGAATTCGAGCCTGGGTGGGCGACATTGGCCGGAAAACACAATTTGCAAGCCGCCAACACCCGTGCATAAACCTGCCGTAGTACTTCTACTGACCTTTCCTGTTGATGGAAATAATCCTGCACCCATGAAAAAAGTGGTTCCGGTTTTGGTCCTCCGAAACCCCATGACACCCCAAAAGAGAGGCAGCTCACTTCCACCACCATAGTATACGTGGGGCTCATTTCTCGAAGTCGCGGAACTGTGGACCACCCGTCTACTTCTAGTAATGAGGTTGCCATATGTGTTGTCTTTACATGGCATGTTTAGACCTACTACAAGTCTAGACCTTCCTTTCCTTCCATGTTTCCTTCCACTATTCCTTATCAGAACAAAGTTATGTTGCTCGTCTTTGCTCAAAGAACCAAAGCCCTTAAGAACCAGTCGAATGTGTGTTCTCGTGGTTCTCTGGCGAGCTCGTTGACTTTGCGACCGTTAGTTCCATCAGTCGAAAGCACCTCCAAATATACAACGTGATACTGTAGATAGAAAATGATAGCACATGGTCTTTGGGGGGAACCTGTTTCTATCCATGTGACTTCTATGGATGGACTGAGGATAGATAAGATTGGTTTGAACTGTCTGATCTGAAGAACCTACAGTAGGCTGAGTATGCCAACAAAAACACACATTCGGTCTCGAACTTGCGGCTTGGGTCATGGCGTGTACATAAACAGGTCTAATGAGGTAGAATCCATGTACAAATTGTGCTTGCTGTGGTGACCGGCAATTCTAACGTGTGGGCGGAAACTCCACAAATCAATGGAAAACACAGCTTTTGGTCACACCACAGGTTTGAGTGCTACCTGACCATCTGGCACATCTTCACCACTGAAGACCATCCTCGATTGACCTCCCAAAAAAACAAAAAGACAAGTGCACTTGATTAGAGATTGAAGATTCCCCGCTTGGTGTCCAACACTTTATCTCCACTTGCCCAGCATGCTGGGAGGGTTCTCAAGCACACACGCCATCTTGTAGCCCAGCAAGTAGTCTTGCTATGTCCTGCTAAATTGTATGCCCATTTCCAACTGAGTCAGGCGCCGTTTGTCATCATCGTTGTGGAAGAGGTGCTCAGGAGGGAATCCTCAGGAGTCTTTCTTGTCAGAATCGCGGAATTATCAAACAGAAAAGGGCAGAAAGCAAAAGATGAAAACTTCTGGAGCTCAGTTGACTTTCGACCTCTTTTGTCTTTTGAACATATTGCATCGCAAGTACGTATGAATCCGAAGAGCATCGGAGATGGCTGTCTTATCTTCATTGATGAGAAACCAAAGCCGAAAGCGCGGTTTCGATACCTTCAAAAGAATCAGAAACCAGTCTAACCATGTCTAACTTCTCAAACTTGTCGCTGTAACACAAGCTTCTCAAACAGCAACCCCCACCCCTATAGGGGAACCACCAAAGTGCTCTCCTAATACCAATGTCTCAGATGTTGCAGACTAAACATGATTGAACCCCCTCTTTCCCATTCGTCTGCTCTTTTCACGTGGACGTTGCTTGAAATCCACACGATCCACATGGATCGTCTCATGTCCCTTCACCCCCACAAGGCACACACGAGGCCAGCACGAGCCGGCCACCAGAAGCCACCAGAAGGCCCCAGCCGGCTCGCAAAAAATGGGCCGAAGCTCGATTCTGCTGCTGGAACTTTGCCAGGAGCTTGCTTCGAAGATTCGAGGCCAGTGGCCTCAACTCCAGGTTTCGCCCCACCACCGCCTGGCGGTGGGTCTATCGCGCGCGGAGGGTGTTTGCGAGTTCGCAGATTTGAGCGGTTTGACATAGGAACTGCAGGTCCATGCAGGTGATTCAATGACAAACCACCCCAACTAACCAGTACAGCGATACTTCTCTGTCGTGTGCCGATTGCGCAAGGTCAAAGAGTTGAATCTCCACAAACAGCGTGAACTCTCAACCTTGCTGCAGCCATTACCTCCACACGAGGCACCCATATGCTTCCGTGTCCGATCAAGCAACGCAGCAACACAGCCAACCATAAACAACATACCCATGTATAATTATGATGTCAGTGCGGTTCAAACATGAACGTCCCCCCGTCTTGCACTGCGATGTTCAGCTGCTCCACTGCGCCTCTATGAAGCTGTTGATGACGTCGATCCCTGTGAGCATGACCTTCATGTCGAGCCGGGCCGCACCAATATTGAGACGGTTTTGAAACGGTGCTTTTTCTCAAAAGAAAAATAGGGGCCGCTTTGATGTTTCATGAGAGAGTTTGAATAGTAGTAATTAATAAGACATGGAATGATAGTTTTATGTGCGTATTGTAACCTGGCCTGCTTTTAAAGAAGTTGATAAGTTGATTTCAAAAAAGTATTGCGCAGGTTCAGACAGACAGGCAAACCCTCGTTACCCCACTCCACCACAGAAAGGTTGAAGGGTCCAAACACATTTCCAAGTTTAACTTGACTGGTCTCAGACTGGTGCAACAGGGAACTTTCGGGAAGTGTCCGCCCACCCGTTCGCTCGTCGCGCCGCTTGCTTTCCTTCGTTCGTTCGGGCCTCAAAGGCCCGTGAGCCAAAGAGGTTCACGAAGAGCACCGCTTGACCTGATGACTTCATGAGGTCTCGGGAAGATGTGGATGAGATTAGTTTGGCTCTGCAGGCGAACACGAGCACTAAATCGATATAAATCATGTTGCTGAATGAACCAACTTAGATCCAGAAACAAAGCTTATAATGGTGTGATTAGTGTGGCTATGTCTTGTCCTTGGGCTGTTGGGCTTCACACCTTCCAATAGACACGTTGGACACGTTTCAAGCGCTCGCTCGCGCTCCTTCAACACCATTGTGCATGGTTAAAGCCAGGGGCAACCTGTTGGGAACCAAATGGAATTTGATGTGCTCCCGTTCATTCGTTTTGAAATCTTAAAGGCAGGCAAGCTCTTGGCAATTTTGACCCAGCTGATTGGAAGTCACGCCCAAATATCACGAAAATGATGAACCGGATTCCAACATCGGCTGTGCATGGATCTTCAAGCAGGGAAAGCAACATCAAAGGGATACTACCAGTGCTACTACATCTCCTGCAAATGCCGGTAGAACATGGTAGAATGGGGCACGGGGTCTTCCCATGTGTTTGGGATTTGGCGCATGGACAAATATCCGAAGAAACTCTTCCTTCTTCACGGACCAACTGTTTCTCCCCACTGAATTACTGTAGAAGGTCGATTGGTGTGTAGCCCAGAAACAGCGCGGAGAGCAACAGTTATGATGCGTCCCACTGCTCTCCGAGCAACGCGGTTGCCCAGTACTTACCTTCACCTTGGTCACCTTGCATCTTTTTCCTACAGAGTGGATCTTGCTTGTGGTAGTTCTCCTACACCTGGCTTTGAGGCTCTGAGATGGAATGCGTACATCTCTCTGTTCTCCAGTTCTTTCTTCTTAATAACTCTCTTCAAACAGGTTAACTCACATTATATAACTTGTTCGTCTTGATAATGGAATCAAGGTGTGGTAGTTTCTTCATCTCTCCAAATGGTTCCGTTGAGTCCAATGTCATCATGTCATCATTGGAGCCAAGGATCCATTGACCTTCACCACACCTTTTCCTGGCAGCTTCGTCGCGTCGGCGACGAAGCAACACAATGCTGGAACCGGAGTTGGGTGGACAAACCTCGTTGACCGCAGGTGCAAAACGAGTGGAACGAAGAGCTCCGGTTCCGAGTGGAGGACAAGCGTATCTGATTCGTGACGCTGTTGGGTGTGTCTCCTTTCAGATCTTACTAGGAGCAAGGACGCTACTGGGATCCAAGCGTTTGGATTTCATTTCAGGCGTTGAGTTCTGCC